CCCCGCCCAGCAGCCAGGCCTCCTGGACCTAATCAGAGCCGGGACACGGGCGGGCCTGGCTCTGTGGCCCCCGAGGCCCCGGGAAGGGGCTGCTGCAGGTACCAGACAGGTGCCACGTGTCCCCACCGCAATCGGTGGCAGCAGCCTCGCCGATCAGGCACTGTCAGGCCAGGGGCAGACCCAGCCGGGCAGCCACCTCCCTGCCCGGGTACCCCGGCTGGGGCACTCCCTCCTGCCCCCCCAAGGGCCCCAAGAAGAGGCTGCCTGCACCCCGAACCTGACCTCTCTGGGCCCGTTCACAGAGGACGGACCCGAGGCCACCGCAGAGCCAGAGAGCTAGCTCCCTCGGTGCACGCTGACCCCGTGGCTTCTCGGGGTCCCTCACTAAGGGCGACACAAGGTCAGCCTGGGACGAGGGGTTCACAGCCTGGTCCCCCTGGCCCTGGCCTAGCAGATCTCACACTGTCGGCATCCGGGGGGCACCCCGGGCCTGGGTCGCCGACACGGCCCTGCCTCCCCCACCACCCAGGCTCCACTGGACCCAGAGAGGGGAGTCCTGGTCTCTGCCTCTGCAGGGCTCACTGCCCTAGCCTGGGGTCTAGGTCCCTTCCCGCTGCTGCCCGCCGCCTGACCCCGCGGCCCGCTCCTTCTGGGACTCCGTCCCTTGGCCGGGACGGCCGGCTCCATGGTCTCAGCAGCCCTGCCAGCCATGATCTAATCTGTCCCAGGTCTTCCCAGAGCCTCCCAGACAAAAGCCAGGCCCTCCTCAGCCCCGGGCTCCAGGCCCGCTCCCCCTCTCCACCGCCCCCCGCCATGGCCACCTGGGACTCCAGACCTGCTCAGCCCGCAGCACCCCTGGTCTCCCACCCTCGATGCTCAGAAGTGCCTTCGGCTCCCACGCCCGGGGGCCTAGGGAGCCCTTCCTTCCCCACGCCTGCTCCCATCCTGCCCTGGGCCCTCGGCTCGGAGGCTGCAGGGCCACGTTATCTGGGGAAGTGTTGCCCCGGGGCCCAGGGTCGTGGTTCCCCGCTCCCCAGACCCTTGCCCCGAGATCTGAGTGCAGAGCCCGCAAGTTGCCTGTCACCCCACACACAGACATGAGCAGATCCTCTGGGGTCCACCTGTCGGGCGGTACGTCCAGGCCACAAGAGCCCCACGCGGGCCCGGCCCCCCTTGCACGCCCAGGTGCACACGAGGCAATAATGCGCGTGCACACACACACGTCCTCCGTGAGCCCGACACCCAGGCCAGCGTGGCACGCGCACCCACCCTCCACCCACGGTTCCAAACACCCCACAGCACGCACACGGATTCACGAGCGGGAACAAGGCAGGGCCAAAATGGCAGGTCCGGGGTCCCCGCTCCAGACCCCGTTTTCTGCTGTCCTTGCCATCGCCCCGACAGCGGCCCTGTGAGCCGGCCCCTCCGAGGGCCACCCTCGGCGACCCGCCATCTGCACGTGGCCCCGGGAGCCCTGACAGGCAGGGGCCGGGGGGGGGGGGGGGGGGGGGGGGGGGGGCAGGCAGACAAGGGATACAGGGTAGGGGTCTCCTGGTGTCTCCCCAAAGCCCTGGGCCGGGAGCCCCAGCGGCCCAAGGACAAGGGGCCCTCCCCCTCGCCTCCCCCCTCCCACCAGCCCCAGGATGTGAGTAATGCGGCCCCTCTGGCCCCTCCCGTGACCTCACCCCTCACTGTTCCACAGCTGGGCTCCGTTCTGGGAACTGAGAGGGGGCGGCTCTCCTGGGGTGGGGTGGGGGCCTCTGGCCTGGGAAAGGCGCCCCCCTTCCCCGGCCAGCAGCCCAGACCCCTTGGCAGGCTCCACGGAGCTGTCAGGACACCGGCGATGGCCGCCCCACCCGTGGCCCCTGGCTCAGCCCGCGTGCAGCTGTAAGGGATTTGGTGTTCCTTAGCGAACGCAATTAGGCTATTTCCTGTGTCTGCTCTGGCTCTTTGCAGCCCGGGGTTCGGCCCCGGGGGCCGCCGAGTGGGGCTCTGCTCCCCCAGCATCGGGCTCCGCCGCGGGGCCTCGCCCCCACCCAGGTGCACCGGGGCGCGCACAGCCCAGCGGGCCCCGGGCCGCCTCCCAGCTCCCCGTTCTGAGTGGGGGTCCCCACGTTCGGGGGCTGCCCCGTCGGCCACGTCCACCGCCTACCGGCCCCGACTCGGGGCGCCGGCCCCCCACTCCTCCGTCTGCGGCCCCCCCCCCCCGGTCCCCCCACCAGGGTCCCGTGATAGGCTCCTGAGCCGGCCCCGGCCCTCGCAGCTGCCCCCACCTCCTTCCTCTCCTGTCTGCCTGCGAGGGTTTGGTCCCAGCTTGACTCTGCCCCCTGCAGGCCGCTTGTCCGGTGCCTAAAGGCCTAAAGGCCACCCGTCTCTGGTGCCTAAAGGTCGAGGGGAGAGCTCGGGCGCCGGGCTCGGGGGCGGGAGCCCAAAGGGAGGACAGCCAGGCAGGGCCAGTCCTGTCGTCGGAGAACTCTTTCTTCAGGTCTGCGGGGGACCCTCTGGGCCACAGGTGTCCCGGACACGGCCAGAGGAAGCTGCCAGAGAGGCCGGGGGAGCAGCCCTGGTCAGCCCCACCGCGGACCGACCACCCCCCGGGGTCTCTGGTCCCCTCCGCGCCCCGCCTCCCCAGGGGGTTCTACGCCGTCGACCGGGGTGGACACTTGCAGAGCCACTGGTCCCTCCGGCGGCCGTAGAGCCCGTGAGTGAAGTGGCAGTGGGGGGGAGCCAGCCCGGGGAGAGGCCTCCTCCTCCTCCTCCGCCTTGGCTTCCGGGGACAGCAGGACGGCAAGCGTCCCAGACTGCCAGAGAGGGGGCCCCCAAGGGCAGAGGTCGGGGGCCCCGTCAGGGAGCTCAGGGGAGGGCAGCCCCACGCCCCACAACTCCGAGGGTGCCCCTCACTGGTTATGCGAGGCGGGCGGGGGGGCTGCCCCAGGCAGCACGGGGAGGGGTCTGTGGGCACGGCACTGGGTGTGGCACCGCCAGGGCCCCGGAGGTCACTCGTCCTTGCAGAGAGGCGGCAGCGGGGGTGAGCGGGGAGCTCGAAGGCGGCCCCAAATGAGCAGGTGGGCGGGGGGTGGGGCGGCGGGAGGGGCACGCTGCTGCCCGGGGCCAGGGGTGGGCGCACGGAGCTGCGGCTGGGGGGACCCGGCTCCCCCCCACACCCCACCCGAGGGCCCTGGCACGGGTCCAGACCGCCCTCCCAGCCGTGCCCCCTCCGGCAGCACGTCTCCGGGCGCGTCCCTGGGCTTCCTCAAAGTCACTGCCCCAGGTAGACAACCCCCACCCCCACCCCCCCCAACAACGAGCCCAGTCCCGCTGCCCAGGGGAGCCCAGGAGGCGACCTTGAACTTGGGTCCGAAAGATGAACCGGAGTGTGTGGGCCAGGGAGAGGGTACAAGAGCCAAGCCAAGGCCAGCGGCCAGAGCGCTCAGGTGGCCCCGGAGGGGTGGCTGCGGGGAGGCGGACGGGAGAGTCTCTGAGCCCCCCGTGAGGCGGCCCCGGGAAGCCCTGTGCCAGCCTTCAGGTCCTTTCTGGAAGGAGGCCCAGTGGGCGTGGAGGAGGGGAGATGCAGTCAGACTGGCAGGGAGGGCTCCCGGCCCGGAGGGGACAGGAGCCTCCAGATCTCCAGAGTCCCTGGGGAGACAGAGGGACTACGGGTGAAGCGAGACCCCGCTGACCCAGGGAGAGTAACCAGGCTAACTGGGGACGCGGTGGCTCAGGCAGCCCAGGACAGCAGTGGGGTAGCCGGGTCTCACGTGACCAGGGATCAGAGGCCTGGAGCACCGAGGCCTTAGGCCTCCTTCCTGCCCGCCTCCCTTCTCCTCCTCCTCTTCCTCCCTCCCTCCCCTCCTCCCCTCCTCCTCCCTTCCTCCCTCCCTCCCCTCCT